TTCTTTGATATTCTGAACCCAGATTTTATAATACCTGAAGGTAGCAATGTACTAATGTAGTAAAAAACACAAAAGTGACATTTCCACTAACATCCACTATGCCTTCCGATAACTGGGACAGCATCCGAAGCTGCTATAGAAACAAAGAGGGCTCTTTATCTGGAGGGTTTATAAGTGAAATGATCCTTTATTTGCATAAGTACAGGTATATTGGTTTGCTTCTCTTCTCACTCTCCATGAGAGACACAGACACATTTACAGGGAGAACAAGCTTAGGGGTCACAGCACTGGGTTGGCTGGCGTCCAGCACCCCTGAACTGGAGGATTAAGGGCCTCGCTCATGGGCCCACAGACATGTGACTATTCTGCCGAATCTTGGACCAGCAGTGTGTCAGGTCTGTTAGGTCAGCTGTTCAAACCCAAAGGGGGCACCCAAGATGGTGCTAAATCATGCGATTGGCAGCTAAAAGTGGCATTTGCACCATTCCTTAGGGAAATTTAGTGACGTTGTTTCAGCCATGCGGTCACTAGGGTGGTGACTGCCCCCCCATTCCCCCTCTGAGTCCACCAGTGGCCTGTGCTGCTCGCTTGTTTTAATGTTGCTGTCAGTACTATTAACAATGTGTAGGTTATATATGTGTTTGTGTCTTAACATATTTTCTTTTTCCAGACTGAACAGCTGTAATCTCACAGAGACATGCTGTGACACGTTGGCTTTAACTCTCAGATCAAACTCCTCACCCCTGAGAGAGCTGGACCTGAGTAACAATGACCTGCAGGATTCAGGAGTGAAGCTGCTCTCTGCTGGACTGGGGGATTCACACTGTAAACTGGAGATACTGAGGTCAGTCCAGTTTGACGGTACAAACACTAAACTGGTACTTTAATCATATAAAGTGTTTCTGTGTCTGCAAGGCAAGTCAGACAAGCGAACCGCTGCACTCACACTATTTCATTCCCACTAAGCAGGTATCAATTTATACTTTTTACTTTTCAGTTCTTTATATTTTTAGAAAAGAGGACATGATGCACATGTTTTGTTTTAGTATTGTCATACTGATTTAACTTGTTATACTCTATACTAGAGTAAATGCATGGGCTGGACTTTTCACAGTTTCATAGCAGAGGAACCTAAATCACATTTGCTCAGGTGGAATTACAGCAAGTAAAATACTCTTTTATTTTGGGTAGCTGCTGCATGGACACCTTCCTGTGTCACATCAGCCGCCTGTCAGCTATGAGAGAGGAATCACTCCTGTAATCAGCTCTCACTGTACTGTACAGATCTGTGTGGACCACAGTGTTTAAAATGTTCATGCGCTAAGATCTCTCAAACAGAATTCCTGAAAGTACTGTATGCCTCCATAATTTTTTGCAATTAACTTTTAACTACATAATTTCTACAATTTAAACATTAAACAAGTCATGTATCAGCGAGGAAGCAGTATCATTGATCTGAATGTGTTATGGGAGGAGTCACATATCATTTTTGCATTGCTAATTAAAATCAAACATCTGTACTTATTGAAATGTCACCTTTTTATGTAAAGGCTGAGATGAAAATAAGAAAATGGCAGCTATTTGCATGGCAAAGAAGGGGAACTAGTTCAAGAAAATACCTTGAAAAGCTTTAGGTCAGAGCACAGATACAATAGGGGTGTGTCAGCTTTTGACATCCACTGTACACATATTCACCTGCTGCCAGTGTTTTCACAGCCAGACCATGGGAGGCTCTGTACAGCCCTCTCCTTGGGGGATCGTCAGCGATTGCCCTCGGCAGTCAGATGGGGGTGTTTCCCAGCTCTGTTCTGATCTGTATGTGAAGGTTAATCTTTCCCAGGTTAGTCTCCTCTGTTGGGTAAGGAGGCAGGAGACACAGGGTTGCGGTGGACACCCCAAATGGGCAGTGTTTGTTTTTGGGGGAAAAGGGGGTACATTTAGAAAGGGCACATGGCCAGGCCCGGCACCTTGGTGACGGGCTGAGCAGGCGGGAGGCGGCAGTCCTTTCCGTGTGGTCATCCTCCAGGCCGTCTGTCTTCAGAGAGAGACACTGTTCACCAGTCAACCTCCCCCCCTGCTATCCAGGGCTGGTTCATCCTTCACACAGACGCAGTTGCACCATCACAGTGAAGTAATTTTCATTGTAGGGTTGTCCATGATGCAGGCTTTGAGTCGTATTGGGGGAGGCGATACTGCCCCCTCTCTAGAGCTCTTATTAGCTGCTGGTCGCCTCCTGTTGGCATTACTCACTTCCTCACGGGTGTTTCTGCGGCCGACTGTGGGGATTTTAGACTACCTCACTGACAGGCCACAATTCGTCAGGTTGCGTGACTGTGTGTCAGAGGTGGTAGTCTGTAACACGGGGGCACCTCAAGGGACGGTACTCTCCCCATTTTTGTTCACCATGTACACAGCTGATTTTAAGTACAGCTCCCATCACTGTCACCTGCAGAAATTCTCAGACGACACC